CTGCAGGATTAGTGTGAATTCAGTTTGTGTCTGTGTGTCATTTGCAAGACACACAGATGTTGCCAGCACAGCAAATCGCCACAAGCTCTTCACTGCCTTTCTGCCAATCCCCCTCCTGCCTCCAAGGCTGAATCTGAGCATCTATGCATTTTTTCCCCAGCATTTGGGAAAGCTAAGCTATAAGTGATTTTTACAAAATGTTTTATTTTGAAATAACTATGGACTCACAAGAAGTTGCAAAATAGTACACAGAGTCCCGTGAACCTCTCAGCCAGCTTCCTCCATGGGCTGCCTCTGATGCAGCCGGCACGTTGACAGGGCCACAGCGCTGCTAGCTAGAGATGTCTGATTTTCAGAGTATGCCAGGGATTTTGAAGTCATGATACAAAAAGTTTTGTGACACAACTGCTGCATCTTGTCATTGGGAGAGGCGGCTGATGGAGAGTATAAAATCCTCTCATCCTGTTGCCTGTGTGATTCTGGACGTGAAGCATCAGTGGGCAGCGTCAGGAACCTGGCCTTGAGCTCAGGGGTGTCCTTAAGAGAAAGGAAAGGCCCCTGAGGTGGCGTGACAGGACTGGGCAGAGGAAAACGTCTGAGTTGTTCACGTTCACTCAGAGCCAGGCGGTGGCCACAGTGGACCCTCTTTATGCTCCCTTGATGAGACATTGATGTCCGCAAGACTGGAGGCAAAAAATCATGTGATATTTGTAGAAAATCACGATTTTTTTTAAAGCCTTATTTTTTAGAGCAGTTTTTGGTTCACAGCAAAATTGTGGGGAAAGTGCGGAGTAGCTCTCTACCCCTCCCCCATCACATATGCCCAGCCCCCACCATCCACATCCCCATCAGGTGGTGACTGATGACACTACCTCCACATCTTGCCACCGCTCAGAGTCCACAGCTGACACCGGGGCTCAGATTCTCTGGGTCTGGACAAACATATAATGACATGCAGCCGTCATTACAGTATCACCCAGAGCAGCATCACAGCCCTAAACATTGAGCTCTGTCAGTTTATTCCTCACTCCCCCAACTCCTGATTTTTTCCTCTACTATTTCCGAAATGTCAGGTAGTTGGAATCCTACAGGATGTCACCTCTTCAGATTGGTGCCTTGCACTTAGTGACACACATTCCGCTTCGTCCGTGCCTTTTTTTGCTTGGTGGCTAATTTCTCTTTGGTGCCAATTCACGTTCCATCGCCTTGGTGCACTGAGGGTCATCCATTTGCCTCTTGCTTGCTTCTATGTTTTGGTAATTGTGAATAAAGCTACTAAAAACATCTTCTTTGCATGTTATGAATTGTTTTTTCAAGCCCCCGATGTCCCATCGTGTGGATCACAGTTTCTGCTCCCATACATGTACAAGCTACATATATTTTATTTTTTATTTTTATTTTCTTCTGAGACAGAGTCTTAGTTTGCTGTTCCCGGTAGAGTACAGTGCCGTCATAGCTCACAGCAACCTCAAAGTCTTGGGCTCAAGTGATTCTCTTGCCTCAGCCTCCCAAGTAGCTGGGACTACAGGTGCCCGATACAATGCCCGGCTATTTTTTAGAGATGGGGGTTTCACTCTGGGTCAGTCTGGTCTCGAACTTGTGAGCCCAGGTGATCTGCCTGCCTCAGCCTCCCAGAGTGTTGGGATTACAGGCGTGAGCTACCGCACTTGTACATATTTTATTCAAAAAAATGTTGCCTTCTGCCCGTCTTTGGTCGGATGGTGATGGGAGGGTTCAGTTCCATGTTTTCTTTGGCGTCTTCACTTCTCTGTTTCGCATGTGAGACTTTTCACAGGAGCAAATGATGACACTTTGAGTCTAATTAGCACTTTGTGATTGCTCAAGGCCTGCCACAGCTTGTCACCAATCTCTCTCCCTGGGGAGGAGGGAGGTCCTGGCATGGTTTAGAGTTTAAATTTGGCTATGGCTGGCACAGGACCACAGAAATGGGCTTGTGTGTTGCGGTTGCGACAGCAGCATTTGGGGCGCTGGTGAGAGTTCCATGACATTGGCAGGTGTTGGGGAGAGGGAACAAACGAGGCCCCAGAGAAAAACCACTCCTGCAGCCCTGTCCCTGCTCAGTGATGTGATGCACCTCTGTGAGCTGCCACCAAGTGCTTGTAGTTTCTTCACAGACGTTAGAGCATCATTTTAAATAACTTTCCTGGGGTTAGTGTCTTATTATACGCAGTCAAGTTCTTTCTCTGCTCTCTCCTTCTGAAGGCTCAGTTGTTCTGAGATGGTCTCAATCGAAACCTGCCTGTCCTAAGTTAGGATTCCACTGGGGTTGGGGAGGCCTGTCTGGGGTCCCTTGTGGGCCTGCTGTCTGTGCAAGGGGAGGCAGAAGCCCACAGGAGCAAACCTTGTTCCTAATTGGCTTTCCTCTTTGACCTCTGACCTAGGCCATGGTCTCTCTAATCTCAAGTCCCTTTACTCCTTCCTGTAAATCAAGAGGGTGGTCTTGACGCTTCCTCCTATAGGTAATAGGATATTAATAGGCCTTGACCCTGACTCAGAACCTGAGGGAAAACATCACCTGCTGTGGGGGTGTTACTCTGTGACGGGGGACGTGCCCATTCTTGGCAGTGTTTTCCAAAGGACTGCATTCATGACATCCAGCTTGGGGATAGGGGAGTCACGGAAGACAGGGAGGGTGACTTTTGGGGTGAAGATGGGGCCATTAGTAGAACTGGGGGAAAAGTTCCCAGGATGTCTAAACCGGTCAGCCCTGAACTGGCATGTTCTTGGAACAGTTGCAGTTGGGTTGTTCAGAAACAATTTTGTGTGATGGGGCAATTTTATTTACCATGGGGACTCTACCCTAATTTCCCTGGGGCTGTAAATGCTACAAGAATTCTAGCCGGACATGAAGACAAAACAAAAATTTCAGGGCGAATCCATCCTTGTCACTAGGCACTGCCAGTTTACACTTAGAACCCAAAGCAGGAGGTGACTGAGTTTAATTTCTCTGCACCTGCTGCTTATGGGGTGCAGGAGGCAACCAGGGAAGAATCAGTATTTGCTCTCCACCTCCAGGAAAAGTGTCGCGCGCTTGCTGGTGCGAGGCTGTGTCTCTGGGCCGTCAGCTGCCTGGCGTCCTGAGAGCCGGCCCTCCTCAGATGCGTTACCTAGGTCAGAGATTAAATAAAGTTGTGCCTCTGCCAGTGCAGCCCCCGCCCACTTGAAACCAGCTTCGTGTTTGCAAGCTCAGAGGGAAGGTAGAAGAATGCCGCCTTGTCTGCTTGCCTGGCCACGGGTGTGTGCAAAATCTCTGGTGGGCGAGCAGCAGACACGCGGAGGCCCCGCCTTTCCCGGGGAACTGGGGACGCTCCTTGCAGGGGTGCAGCCGCTCCCTCCACGGGCAGGGCCTGCAGCCCTCCCCGACCCCTGGGAGCACTTGGGGGTGGAAACTCTTCCCGGGGGTAGGACGGGCGCTCGCTGGCTGCCGTTTTCCTCTTCGGCCCAGTCGACTCTTATTTCAGGAGTGGGACTCTCCTTTGGGCGATCTAGCGTGTCACCTCTGGCATATGCTCTAAGTGCAGAAAAACAAGTCCAAATGCAATGCTTCGGGTTTCCGAACAGCTGCCCGAGCGCCGAAACCAGACCGTCAGCAAAGCTGTCGGAGGGAGCGCCGGGGCGGGGCGGACCCGGGGGCCCGGCCAGGTGGCCGCTGCCCGGCGCCCGGGCCCCTGGGCGGGGCGCGAGCAGCCTTGGCCGCCGCCTGGGCGCGGGCGCCTTCCCTGCAGAGCATGAGGGACGTGAGCGACGTGTGGCAGACTCGGCTCAGAGCCCGCCGCCGCCGTGTGGGTTCCGCGAGCGCCGCCTTCGTGCCTCCAGCTGCAGCGCAGCCGGGCGCCGAGCGTGCGCCCCTGCCAGGCCCGGGAGCGGCTTCCCTGTCTGGAAGCTCGTGGGTGTCGGGCCCCCGCCTGACCCGGGACACCCGCACCTTCCCCCGTGGCCTCTGTGGCGATGCGCACCGCGAGGAGTGGACGAGGATAGAGGGCGCAGCACACCAAGCAGCTGGGAAAGCCGCAGCGCGTGTAGCAACAACGGCCTGAATTTGGGGCGGGGGGTGTTGCATGATCAAGTGCCGCCCCCTAGTACTTACTTTGGGGCTTATAGGCGGGAAACGAACTGCAGGTCGGAACCGGGTCTAGTTTTATTCACTCGGAGAGACAGAAGCACATTTATGGTGTACACGGTGCATGGGAAACCAAGATGCCAGCTGTACCCCCCGCCTTGTTCTCTTCTCAGTCTAGCGCCTCCATCCTGGGCTTTCTGTCCCGTTCTCGCCCAGCACGGCGCGCCTCCCACGGTCCCGGCCTAAGGGTGGATGAGGGGAGCAGAGCTCTGCACAGCCCAGGTTGCTAAGGGATTCAGGAACGTGGGCCGGACGAGGTCGACGGACCAGGGAAACCCCCTTGAGGTCCGGGCCCGGGGTCGTGGAGAGCTACGGCTCACAGGTGTCCAGGAGCAGCTTTGGCTCGGGTCCCCCACCCCCTACCCCCCGGGCCACGCCTGCTCTGAGCGCGTTAGGAATGCAGGGTCTCGGACCCTCTGCCAAAAGGGGCCAAATCAGTAGCATGCATTTAAAAAAGCATCCTGGGGTGGAGTGGGGGTTGGCTGTAGGGTCCACGGACCACGCTGGACAGTGTAATACCGTCACTTGCCTCCCGGCACAGGTGGGCTGAGGCAGTGGAATTATACAGGAAGCTGAGCCCGGCGCCCTTAGGGGATGACCGGAGGCGGGGATGTCGCGAGCTAGGACCGCTGCCTCGGCCGGGCGTCGCGGAGGCCCCAGCCGGGCAGCAGAAGGGAGGCGCGTTGTTACCCACGGCCCGCAGGGGGCGCCGGAGGCCGCCGGGTCGGCTCACCCCCTCCCCACGTGAAAGGGCGCTGGGGCCCGCGGAATGCGCCCGCCCCCGGTGACGCGGGCGCCCTGCCGGCCCCACTCTTAAAAGGCAGGCGGCGCGCCGGGCTTCCCAGCAGAGCTGAAGAGAAGCGTGCAAGAACACCGGCGGCGGAGCGCGCTGTCACTGCGCCCAAGCATCCCACGGCTTTCCGCTGCACACGAGCGGGTCGTGCATCCCCGCAGCCCCGCGTCCCTCACTGCCGACACCGAGTGCCCGGGGGACGCGTGTCCCGGCCCCGGCCCCAGGCTTCTCCGAGCCGCGCGCCGGCGCACACACCCCTCTTCGCCTTTGTTCCGGGGGTCGGCGGCCGCACTCCGCCCCGCGTCGGGATCTGGTGGGCCGCTGGCGCAGCCGCGAAGATGCCCCTGGAGCTGACTCAGAGCCGGGTGCAGAAGATCTGGGTACCCGTAGACCACCGGCCCTCGCTTCCCAGATGTGAGTGCCACCTCGCGGGCCGGGCTGCAGGCTGCGCCGCGTGCAGGGCCGGGCCATTGTGTGGGGCCGCTTTGTGCCGACGCCCCGCTGCGGGAGGCGCGCCCGTGCGGGTCCG